TGCCCTACTAAACCCCATATAAACTGTTACTTTCTGGTTGGACCATATTCCTTTCACACTAAAAATTACATAGTATCTCTTCCAATTTCACAAGTTTTTAGGGTAATCTTTATTATCTTAAACACCCCAAAGTTTGCTACAAAATTTTCTGCTATAATACCAGATAACCAAGGTTAGAGTCCAGTGGGTTTAGTGGACAATGACTGCATTGAATTGGTTATTATAACAGTGACCCCTGATACCAATTGTCAGCTCTAAGATCAGTTCCCTGCTGCTGTCTCATCTTTCAACAAGTCTCCCTTGATTTCACTTCAGTTATGTCTCCTGTGCCCTATTCTGTATCTTCTGAATTTGAGAATGTTTTTAGTCAAAGGAGTGGTTGGGCGGATGGGTCTTGGAGAAGGTTGATTAGTGATAAAATGTTCTTGTATTCATTTAATACTTCTCCAGCCTCAAACCAGGTAGGCAGCAGGGTAAACATCTTGTATCTATTACCTGATGGAATGTTTCTTGGTTCTGTTTAAATTGTGAGGCTGGTGTAGCTCATCCAGTCAGTACTCACTCAGAGCTCCAGGAAAGGAAACTATTGCATTACCATCCTCAGTTTTATGGTTTCAGAGGTGATGATGTATGGCCCGGCTGTGTCTGGAGATGTTCTAGGCAGAGCTGCTTTATCTTGTAGGATGCCAACCTTGGAGGAGAACTCTTGTTTGGAAAACTTCCTTATTTTTATGGTTATTCATGATTCCCTCTCCAGGAAGAGTTTTCTTATTGGTTCTTGTAACCTAGAGGGTGGCCGCATTTTCCTGATGTCTCCTGTACTCCCCCTTACCAGCGAGACACAGAAGGAGATGGCAAATTACCAAACCTCTTACCTTAGTGCATCACACATGCCCTGGGGAAATCGTCAATGACTCCTAAATAGAAACAAAGAAAAAGTTGTTTAGCAAGGATGGCCTTGGAGATGTCTGAGCCCCAGTGTGGCAATAACAACCAACTGATGGGCTCACTAAGATGTGAAACGCAGTCTTTAGTTCTCCATATTCCCAATATGCTGACTAAATGAAGTTGCTCTATGTAGTATCCCCATAATATGACCTCTTGCCCTTATGATTTTATCATCTGAGATTCTTCAGACAGCATTTACTTTCATCCTGTGTCTTATATCCTTGACCAATCAGGCCTAATTTCCCATCCCAGCTGAAGTGCACTGTGTTGACCACACTTAAGATTTTTTTTCCCCACAATTTCATGTATATGCATCTTTGATCTAACTAAGTATTTCTTTAAGGAAAGTTTGGCATTTTATATCTCTCTCACACACAAATACCAGATGTCACTATTGTCATACGTTACTTTCTATTGCTGTAATAAAGCATCATGATCAAAAGCAACTTAGGAAGAAAAGTGTATTTTCTGTTACAACTCCCAGGTTATAGTCCAACACTAAGGGAGCTCAATGAAGGAACACATGGCAGGAACCTAGAGGCAGGAACTGAAACAGAGTGGTGCTGCTTACTGGCTTGCTTTCCATGTTTTCCTTAGTTTGCCTTTTATCTCACCCATGGCCACCTACCCTGGGTGGCAGAGCACAGCCCACAGTGGCTGGGCCCTACTATATTAATCACCAATCAAGAAAATTCCCCCACAGACTTTCATACAGGCCAATATGATGGAACCAATTCTTCAACTGATGTTCTCTCTTTGAAGATGATTCTAGCTTATGACAGATTCACAAAAACAAAACAAAACAAAAACAAACCAACCAAACAACAAACACAAAAAGAAAACAAAAAATTAAAACAAAACCTACAACCAACACAATTATATTTTCCTATTGCCTGGTTTCATCAATAAGAAACTCAAAAACAATATTTCATCAATATATTCCAGTTTATCTACCAAAAATTTAACATGGTTCTACACAGTGTAGGAAGTTAAGTTTTTAATAATTAAAATTATCTGTAAACACTTAAAGAATCATAACCCAGTATAGGAAAACAGCTGAAAATTACAAGCTTTTTAATCCTGAAAAGCTTTCTTCACATCTTTAAGACTCAGTTTCTCCATGAGAGAGATGATGATGGGACCTATCCCAGAACCCCGCTTGAGGATTAATGAAAGCGCATGTAGATGCCTGGGTGTGGTAGGAATTCACCAAGAGGAAGACTTCAGGGTAAGATGGCAAACTAGAAGCTGCCTCTCTGTGAGGTGGTAAAGGAGAGTAAGAAAAATTAAAATTAAAAAGACTCCTTATTCCTAAGAGGGTTTTGAGCATCTATTGTGAAAACCCATTCCCATTGGTGTTGGGGTGTACTGTGTGAAGGTGTGTCTTTGTATATTCAATTGTTAATTTTGTACCAGCAGAAAGCTATCTCCAATCTCATGTTTTGTAAATATTTATTTCTTCATCACCCATGCAAGGCAATCTGGAATTGTATCTGATTGGCTTTTTGTAAAGAGCTGATGGCCAATAGCTGGGCAGGAAATGGAAGACATCTTCCAGGCAGAGAAAAGGATGATGGGAGAAGGTCAGAGGCCAGGGACACAGGGAGGGACAGACATACCTGGGCTGAGCAGAGAGGTAAGGAACTAGCCACCTGTGGGAGGTATGGGCTAGAATAGTTGAATAAAGTTAAGTGAGCTAGCTGAGAGTCTGCCCAGCTAAAGGCCTAAACTCTTAAATATTAGTAAACCTCCATGTCATTATTTATATCTCTAGTGAGTCTGAGAAAGTCCTACCACACATTGGAATTTAAATTATGTCACTGTATGACCTCAGTGTTTGACACTGAGCTACAGGTTTTAGTCTTGGTTTGGTCCCATCTCTCCTTTTTATGTTCCCATCTCTCCATTTTGAAACAACAACGTTCATTCTTTGTTACTGTATATTGGAAGTATATAAATTCATTTTTGTTGTTGTTTTTCAAGACAGGCTTTCTCTTTGTAGCTTTAGATGTCCTGGAACTTGTACTGTAGACCAGGCTGACGTCAAACTCACAGAGATCTGCCTGTCTCTGCCTCCCGAGTGCTGGGATTAAAGTTGTGAATCACCATTTTCAGGTTATAATCTTTTTTTCAGTGTTCACAATGGATCATAGCCAAGAGTTTGCCTTGAATCTCACAGGGGAATTTGAACTTGACCTTTTAAATAATTCTAGAATTGTTAAGACTAACGGGGTTTATGGCGACAAGCTGAGGGCATTTTTCATAATGAAATGGATGTGAGATTTTTGACAGCGCCATAAGTGGAATGCCATAACTTGGAAGTGATATGTTTGGGTGTCAGGTTGACTAGGGGTAGGCTTATAATGATCATTGTTCTTTGACAAGTTGACTGGATTTAGGATCACCTAGGAATCAAATCTGAGACCCATCTTTGGGTGTGTCTGTGAAGACATTTCTAGAAAGGATTACCTGAGAAGAATTCATGTGGCCAAATCTATGGGCTAGGAGGGTTGGAGAGAGTAAAAGGGAAAAAGGAGAAAGCCAGCAGGGTGTCTGTGTTTTCCCTGTCTCTGCTTCCTAGCCAACCAGGAGGCTGCTTTGCTCCTTTATTCCTTTCTCATCAGGACAGATTGAACCTCCCAAAGCCGCAAGCAAAATAAATCTTTATTTCGAGGTGTCTGGTAATTCAGTCACAACAATGAAAAAGCAACTGGCATAGAGAGACACTGATCAAATGTTACTGAGATTATAATCATTAAATCAAATTACTTTCATTTGTCACCATCCCCCTTGATTCAGTGAATGATTTTTATTGTTTGAGGTTGAATTTGTGTAACTTGTCTGACCTGCTTTTTAGCACATGCTTAGTTAGGCACACAGTAAAGCCACAAACATATGGTTTGAAATTATCCATCCCCACTCAGAAAGGCAAAGAGGATGGACATCGGAAGAAGGAGAACACAGGAAACAGGACAGGAGCCTACCACAAAGGGCCTCTGAAAGGCTCTACCCTGCAGGGTATCGAGGCAGATGCTGAGACTCATAGCCAAACTTTGGGCAGAGTGTAGGGAATCTTACGAAAGAAGTGGGAGATAGTAAGACCTGGAGAGGACAGGAGCTCCACAAGGACAGCAACAGATCTAAAAAGTCTGGGCACAGGGGTCTTTTCTGAGACTGATACTCCAGCCAAGCACCACTCATGGAGATGGCCTGGAACCCCTGAACGGAGGTAGCCTATGGCAGTTTAGTGTCCAAGTGGGCTCCATAGTAATGGGGACAGGGACTGTCTCTGACATGAACTGATTGGCCTGCTCTTTGATCACCTCCCCCTGAAGGGGGAGCAGCCTTACCAGGCCACAGAAGAAGACAATGCAGCCACCCTGATGAGACCTGATAGACTAGGATCAGAGGGAAGGGGAGGGGGACTTCCTTTATCAGTGGACTAGGAGAGGGACAGGGGTGGGGAAGAGGGAGGGTAGAATTGGGAGGAGAGGAGGGAGGGAGGTACAGGGGGGATACAAAGTGAATAAACTGTAACTAAGAAAAATAAAAATAATTAAAAATAACAACAAAAAGAAAAGAAATTATCCATGCTCAAGAAATGAGTAGCTAGGAAAGGCCAAATTAAAAAAAAAATAATTGTTTTAGACTCTGAGTATGAAAATGGATTCAAAACACACAGCAGTTGATTCATGTACTTTGTGTTAAGACTCAGTACCTCCTCCTCTGGGGTACCCCATCAAGAACCAGTGACTTTTTGGAAAGGGTGGTGACACATTTATGAGTCATTCCTCACTCTGAAAGTGTCCACCATCAGCACACTTTCTGCATGTAGCTAGAACACACCATCATCCCAAGCTTCTTTAGAATGCTGTGATATAAGCCAAGTTTCATTCTCTGACACTGACAGAGAGAGAGAGCCCCAGCCTCTCCAGTAGGAAGACACTAAAACTCTGGGGTCTACTGAAGGCTGTTTGCTAGTGACCAATGAACGGTCCTAGAACAGAATATAAAACTGTAACTGAAAAATGTGTTGGTCCTTCTTCCCCATCTTACTCAGAGTCTGTGCCTCTCCCTAGCACCTTCCACAGAGCCCCCTTCACGTCCTTGTTCCTCAGGGTGTAAATCAGAGGGTTGAGCATAGGGGTGACGATAGTATAAAAAAGGGCAACAAACTTCCCTTCACTCTCAGAGTAGGTGTGAGTGGGTTGAAGGTATGTGTAGATGGCTGAACCATAAAACAGAGAAACCACCAGAATGTGGGATCCACAAGTCCCAAAGGCTTTTCTGCGCCCGGCTGTGGACTTGACCTTCAGCACTGCCCTGGCAATGCGAGCATAGGAACCCAGGATAAGCGCTGCAGGGCAGACCAAGACTATTGTTCGAGCCACAAACATCTTGGCCTCTGTTCTTTTTGTTTCCTCGCAGGCCAACTTCAGAAATATGGGCATCTCACAGAAGAAGTGATTCAGTCGATGGCCGCAGAGAGGCATGGCCATCATGAGGCCTGTCTGAATCAGAGAGTTCATGAGGCCTCCTACCCAGGAGGAGATGGCCAGTACCTGGCACAGCTGAGGGTGCATAATGGTCGTGTAGTGCAGTGGTCGGCACACAGCAGCGTAGCGATCAAAGGCCATGACCCCCAACAGCACACACTCTGTGGAAGCCAGGGTGAGAAAAATAAGGAGCTGGGCCACACACCTCCCATAACTGATGGTCCTGTCTAGACCATGGAGGTTGATCAGGAGCTGGGGCACAGTGCTGGTGGTGTAGCAGAGGTCCAGGAAGGAGAGGTGTGAGAGGAAGAAGTACATTGGCGTTTGCAATCGAAGGTCCAATCGTGAGAGAACAATGATGGAGGTGTTGCCAAAAAGCGTTAGGGAGTAGAAAATTGAAATGATGACAAAAAAGGCAAGTTCCAGGTGAGGCCAATCTGAGAATCCCACCAAAAAGAAGGCCTTGTCTGAACTAGAATTGAAGGTTTCCATCACCTTTGACCAGCACAAACAGCAAACAATCCAATGCTTCCAACAAGGAGTGTAGGTTTGAATTTTATATCCTAAATACTACAAATTCATAGATTGTACCTTCCACCTACCCAGTAATCTGTCTCTTCTTATATTTAGACGTGAGACATCCATACTAGGATGATGTTCCCTTTGCTTGACTTCTAGTTCTGGTGTCATGATTTTTTTTTGAGACCACTCAAGCCCGTGGATTCAAAGTTTCCATATCTGGAAGGACAGATGATGTACTTCCATAGTCACAACACTGAGGTATGGATCCAAACTTGTGGTAACAGGGAAGCTGACTTTAGAAGCTAATGTGGGGTTGCCAATGCAGCTCATAGGGGCTTGCGTAGCACATGCAACCCCTTGGGTTTGAGCCCTGAAAAATACTGTCGGTCAATTAATAAAAATCCATGTACCCCCTGTTGTTCATCTTGCTCATCATCTCGGTCTATGTGACAGGTTATTTCAGTAGATGAAGGCTCAAGAATGCTCAGGCTGAGATTGAAAATTTGCCCTCTGCTACCATCTGCTTCCTCCTGCACAGTGAGCGCTGTCATTGGACCCGTTCTGGACTCCCCACTCACACAGCTGCCATCTGCCACAAAGGACTGAAAAGAGTGTGTATCCCTTTAGAAGAAAAAATAAATAAATTTTATTACCTATGTTACATGTCATGAATAAGCATGGCAGAGAATACTCTATTTTTTTTCTCTGATTAATTCATTCCTGAAATTACCAGAAAGAGCTATTTTCTCCTTCAAGCTAAAACTTCTTGGTACACTTTCCAGGAACTTTCACACACTGTAAAAACCTCTTCCACATCATTGTCCTGTGAGATCTTGGGTGGTAGAGGACACAGCACACTTTAAAAATGGAAAAGAAAACACCCCCATCATTTTATTTTAAACTTGGTGAATCAATTTTCTTCATTTTTGAATTTCTTTTTTATTATATCTTTTATTTCTGAGATTATAAGTATACCATTTTCTCTCTTTCCTCTCTCAAACCCCTCCCATATTCTCCTCTTTGCTCTCATTCAAATTCATGGCCTCCTTTTTCAGTAATTGTTGTTACATGTATATATGAATATGTGTATATATTCCTAAGTATATCCTGCTCAGTCTGTATAAGGCTACCTGTGTGTTTGTTTTTCAGGTCTGACCATTTGGTGTTGGATAACCAATGTTCATTTCCTATATCAGAGTAGACTATTTCTCCCACTGTCAGCATTGTTAGTTGCCTGTAGCTCTTTTTGTAGGGATAAGGCCTTGTGGGGTTTCCTCCATCCATGTTAGTCTATTGTCCTTGCTCATTTCATGTTTAAGAAGTCACGTTGTTGAGTCTTTTAGCAAACTCCGTGCTCCTTTGGGTCTTACGTTCTTTCTGCCCTTCCTTCCACCACAGTATTTCATGAGCCTTAGGTGCAGGAGTTGTTTTGTAGATGTATCCTTTCCACCATCAATAAAAAAACAAAACTCCACTCCAAACACCTGTAGTTGTTCTAAGACCCCAGTTCTATGCAGGGCGCGTTCCTGTACAGAATCTCAAAACAAGATATTTCTTCCACATTTGTTTGTGTCTTTATTTCCCTGTCTCCAGCCTCCGCTTTCCTCGTTACAAGGATTTAACTGCTTGATTTGCCATGTCAACGATCTTCTTGCTAATATCATTAACTCATTACTTCTTTGTTTCACACATCCAATTCTGATCAAGATAACTTTATTATGTCTCTGTTACTAATCTAAGAGTGATAGCTTGCCTTAGCTCATTCTGCTTTACAGCTCTGGTATCCAGAATGATGATTGGCACACCACATGCCCAATAACCAATATGACAAACAACTGGAAATTATTTGTCAAAGGACAGTGTGCAGAAATAGTAATTGGAAGCAGTCTCTTCTTGACATGTAGATACAGACGTTCCAAATTAATTTCAGTCTTCTAAGAAACATCGTGTCTTACCTCACGGCGCATAAGAGATGTGAAGTGATACTCCTGTTCATACCAGTTAGTAGATAGATATCCTATAACTTCCGTTGATGGAAACATTTGATTCTCCCCTTAAATCTCATGAAAATCCATTTCCACGAGGAACTCTGAGAATGAACAGGAACATACATTAATACGCCAGTGGGATATACGTAAAAGTTTGTTTTCAATTTTTTGGGGAAGGGAATGGAGAGATGGCCCAGGGGCTGAGAGTATGTACTGTTCTTCTGATGCTTGAGTATGGCTCCCAGCAGCGATGGGAGGGTCCCAACTAACTGTAACTACAGATTCAGGAACATCCCACAACTCCAGCCTCCCCTGGCACCAGTGGCCATGCGCACACCCCACCCAGTACACAAAACTGAAAATAAAATGTCATTAAAAGTCAAAATAGAACACAAGCAAGCTTATCAGATAAGTTTAAAGGAAACAGTTAATTAGTGGAAGTTTCACCTGAGCTCAATATGAGAACATTTTCAAATTAGCATCTTCTTGTCGTTAGTTTGAAGGTCCTCCAGGCTCCATTGTGATTTCAGGAAAGCGCTGGTATATTATGCTTGAAGTAGGAAAGATGGAAAAATGTGAATTATAAAGACATAGTGGCAGGCACGCATCAGCTGATGTCATCTGTAGCCAGACCCCCACATATAACCTTTGTCACTCACCCTGTCACCTGTTCTGAAGACTTGTCTTTGTGAGTCTGAGGTATAAAATTAAAAAAAAAAGTTTCCACAAGATCTTGAGATCTTGATTGACATTGAATGGTCTTATCAATTCAGAAATGACAAGAGAAAATGACACATACTTTCAACAGTTGTCTGTCTCTATCTCCATTCTTTGAAAAAGATTTACATATGTTTTATGTATGTGTGTAGGACATGTGTACATAAGTGAAGTTACCCAAGAAGCCAAGAAGAGTGTGTGTTGGAGATTCTTGGAGCTGTACCTATGGAGGTTGTGAGTCCTCCAAACACGGGTGCTGGGGACTGAAATTGGGTTCTCTGTTAGAGCATTAAGTTCATCTAAACTCTGAGCCACCCCTCCAGCTCCTGCAATGCTCTTTCTTGACAACCATGTGAGGGATGCTTAATTTATTGGGCACTTTAGACCATGTCAAATTCAGTGCCTGGGAAAGAAAGATCTGTCATCAGAAACCAATGATTGGATTAGTGAATGCATTTTGTGCCTGAGCAACATGCTTAGTGGGCAGAAAATAACTCAAAATTTGTTTCTGAGGATAGAAACCAGAGTGATGGAAGAGAGGAAACAGGATGGGAGTCTTCTATAGAGGGTCCTCTGAAAGGATTCACCCAACAGGAGATCAAAGCAGATGCTGAGACTCAGGGTAAAATTTTGGGTAGAGCGCAGGGAGTCTTATGGAGGAAGAGAGGGGTGGGAACAGAGTGACATGGAGGGGACAGGAGCCCCACAAGGAGACCAACAAAACTAAAATATCTGAGCCCAGGGGGTTCTGCAGAGACTGATGCACCAACTGAGGACCATGCACGGAGAGGACCTAGACTCCCTACTCAGATGTGGCTGATTGGCAGCTCAGTCTCCATGTGGATCTCTGAGTGAGGGGATCAGGAGCTGCCTCTATCATAAACTCAGTTGACTGCTCTCTGATCTCTCCACTCATTTTTTGAGATGAGGTCTCTCACTTTTCTCACTGAGTTATCTTACTAGCCCTGTTCTTCCTTTATTTTTAAAGGAGAAAATAATGACAACACAAGAGCACAATGACCAAGAATCCATCCTAAGCTAATACTGCTAACCTGAGTGATGAAATTTGCCCATGCTATCTGAGACTAGATGAAAATAATGATGCAGGTCCTTGACCACTTTAGAGTTTAAGAAAATCCGAAGGCTAAGTCTTCCCAGAGTCTCGAATCATCTGATAGGTGTGTTCCTGCACAGAATCTCAAAACAAGAACTTCCTTCACTTAGCCTCATAGTCATCATCTCCTCCTCGCTTGTTTGTGTTTTTATTTCACTACCCTCAACCTCTACTTTCATCATTACCGGGATTTCTGTATTTACTTGTTTTATTATGTCAATGATTTTCTTGCTATTATCATTAACTCATTACTTCTTTGGTTCTTGTATCCAATTCTGTCAAAAAATAACTTTACTACATTTTTGTTACTAAAATAAGATTGATAACTTATCTCATACCGCTTTACAGTTTTGGTGTACAGAATGATGATTAGCACACAAATTGTCCAATAGAAACTCAGCTCTGCCAGCTAGAACTTACCAAGGCACCAAGCCCAGCAGCAGTTTTGGTCTTAATTGGGCACAGGGATATAGTGGTGTCCCTACTTTCTTGGGATCTTGTCTTTTTTAAAATCCACAATCTATTGTATAAAAGGATACTAATACCGTGTTACTTTCAGATCCGGTCCCTTTGAATGCCTCTTCCATCATATCCACTTTCTCCTGACTGATCAAGACAATGACACCTATGGGTGACCTTGTCATGGGTGAATAAGTCTTTGGGGAATGTGTAATCAAGACTCCAGGAGCATGTAAAGAATGGGCTGAGCCACAGAACCACAACACCCATGCTGGCTCTTCTAAAACTGAAGATGTAAGTGAGTTCAGCATTCACATGGCTTAAATCCATAGAACTCCTAAACTGACCACATATCTGTCACTCAGGAACATATTTATGATTATGATAACCCTCTAATCCCTCATAGAGGTGTTCTCTAGTCTTTTATTAACTTTGGTGATGTGCTCTGCCTCATTATGTCCACATCTGGAAATAGTGAAAATAAATCTTCCTGGAGGTGTTTTTCATCTGTCAAGAGCCCTTACGAAAGTTCATTTACATGTGAAATCAATGATTAAACTATGACTTGTTGTATCTAGTCTGCATCTCATATTCCAGTTGGCCTTTGATATGGCCACACTGGCCAAGATATTGGGCAGCACTGAAATCTCCCACCCGAGCTCAGCACATGAGGCTGAGAGGTGGATATACCT